TGGCTCGCCTATTAAAGTGCGAGCCTGCAGCAGAGTTCGATCAGTTGTATTCCTGACGTTGTGACGTTCACTTGGCGAGCAGCGCGGGGATCCTCTTTTGTGTGGGGTAAGTTTTGTTAATAATTTGTTAATAACTAATAGTTTTTCGGTTTTCTAATAAATATTATCCTAAGGACTGTATTATAAACAATGTAATTAATATGTTGGTGTTTTAACATTTGTATTATGATCACCTCGGCATCGTCATCAACAACATCATCATCTTCTTTCCTCATTATACTAATTATCATCATCTTTGTTGTCATCATCATCATCATCATAATCATTATCATCATCATAATCATCATCATCATCATTATCATCATCATCAACATCATAATCATCATCAATTATAATCAAAACTAAAAATTTTATTATAATCAGAATTTAAAATAATTATCGAACTCATCATTGCCATACATACACTATTAGCGTCATCCTACAAACATGAATATTAATTTTAATTGTAATTATCATTCCTTTATTGACATAACCCAAATTGATTAAACATTATTTCTGATCATTTGTTGTTATAATTAGCTTGTATAAGATTTAAAAATATAATAAAAATACGATTTTCAAACATAATAAAAATAAACATATAAAATTAATAAATAAATTATTAATAAATAATTAATTAAAAATATTAAACATTAACAGCATTAACTCTTTTCTGCAATTTTTTGCTCTAACCTTTTCTCTTTTAGTTAAGTATAGGGCTTATGAAAATGAGTAAGCTTCCCCAATGATATGCATACTTAAAAATTTTATTACCAATATCATGTCAGCTCATTTGTAATTGGATATTACAACCTTGTGAAATTGTAAATTTGATAATGATTCGATCATAAAACCGACTCTGCAGACATTAGCTTTGCAATTTTATTTCTTCTCACATATATAATCTATAAAATTCGCTGTTTGCTGTAATAAAATCCATACACCCATCCACGGTGTCAGCGACTGGAACATAAGCAATGGGCGTGTTTTCACTGCTGGCCATTGGCGCAACACAACGCTTATATACTACTCGTTCGTATATCTTATAGAAAACAATTAAATCCAACTGTTTAGCTTATTGGCTCTGCTGCTTTGTGTCGCTCTACTTTTTTTCCAGCTCTTTGTGTTTTTGCTATTAAATGCTAGTTGAGGGTGCGCTAGCTGTTTGATTAACTATCAAGGAAATGCCAGTTTAGTGCATCGAAATAATTAACAAAATTTACGCTGCGCAACGATTTGTTTGTATTTAATTAGAGCAACAAATTGTTTGCATTATATTTAAAGCCAATCGATTTGGTACCGTGGGTATCGTTAACAACAAAATGCCTTAACACTATTGTGAGTTACGCCTGTTCAGATTGTTCCGCTGTCTCCGTATTGGTTTTTTTTGGCTTCGCTTGCGGCGTACCCAGGGCCATTGGCAGCCGGTCGCCCCAGCGACTGACTCGAGCACAACTGTAGGCGGCTCTGCAATGGATACAATTTAGTGTGCAAATTGGAAATGAAAGACCACTACTCCACTACTTACTTGCCATGCTTGGATGCCGTAAAGATGACTTCTTGCAAATTACCAGCTTCGGTGCAAACGCGACAAATCGCATGCTTCGAACGCACTAAAGTGGGACGCACAATGCGTGGCCATTGGCGAGTGGCATCTGTAATAGGACCTTTCCGCAAGATTGCATAGCTATATGTAGAAGTGCGACGATCCACTGTTGAATCGCTACTAATTCGCAGCGGCGTATAGGCAATTTCAAAGTTGCATGGCGTACGATCTGCTAAATCCCGAAGACGTGGGCATCGCAAATCGTGAGGGCACTGCAAAAAGAATGGATTAACTTTCATTTTATACATGAATTTGCCAGGTACTCACTGGCGCCAGCGTGTGACCGGCATGCTCCTCGCCAGCACGGAGTAGATACCGTCTAGCTTCATTGACTAGCTCACTGCCTTTGCGTGAGCCCTCCTCCACGATGACCATGTAGCCATCGCATTTGCGCCACAGATTTAACAGAGCCTCCTGTCGCTGCTGCTTGTCGGGCAATTCGAATAATGTGTGTGAAATAATAGCTAAGTCATATTTTGTATCGATGGCGGGTAAAAACTGTCTATAGAAAACATTGCGCAACGCAATCTGTTTATTCTCCTGACCCTGCTGCAGGATGAGCTCAGATAGCTCGTTCATCTCCCTTGATCGATCCACATTGTAATACTCAAAGATGCTGTCACGCCACAGTTCACTGGCCGCCCACATGCCGGTGCCGATGCCTGAGCCAAAGTCGATGTAACTGCGTGGCTTGAACTGTTCATCGCGCAATTGAATTTCGGAGAGCACGCGCTTCATTACCGCGTACTCTTGGGCCGCTCTGCCCACGGCATAGACTATAGCTTCGTATGTGCCGTATTCGATGGGCTTCCAAGCGTATGTGCGCTGATCCAAACGCTTATTAATCTCTAGCTCGCGCTTTCGCTTCCAACGCGCCGCCTCCTCCTCGCTGAGCGTGGCTAACCGTTCCAATGGCATCTTTGCATTGATCTCTTCTATAATCAGTCGTTTCTTATTCTCGATTTCCAACGGCGTTGGCGGCGGATGTCGCGCTTTTATATAACGATTGAGCAGCTCACTGTCTCGCAGAACTTTTTTCACAGGATGATCGCCTACAATACGTTTTAACGTGTCGCTCAGTTGCTTGGGAAGCTCGACGAAATTGGGTTTTATAATGCCGGGATGTTTCCTCGGTTTGATTGCCGCTTGCTCCAAATCTGCAAGCACAGCCGGCTCAACTGCTGCACTTATTTTGCAGGTGTATCGCTTCAGCAGTTGTGTACTCGTCAGAAAAAGTCGCGGCGCGAGCATTTTATGGCCAACTGTGTCTAGCATAAAATGCGAAGCCATGTTAAATGGACTTTTTTTAACTGCACAAAAGGTAAATAAACACAAGCATGTGGCGCCCGTTGAAATTCCTTGATAAGTTGTGCAACACGTTTACCTCATTTTTTAACACTGTTTTATTTTCAGATTGGTAAATAAAATAATCGATTTGCTATATGCAAAAGAATATTGTTTCGCATTTAATAAACAATATTTTCATTGATTTATTTATTATAGTATCATTTTTTAAATTAATTAAAAATAAAGGAATAATGCATAATCTATCGGTGTTACACATAAAATATTAAGCATATTTAAATATTCTCTGCGCTACATGAGCTGCATACTAGCCTTAAGCATGTAGCCGATTCCTTTTAACTGGCAAACGTAGACAGTTTTGCAAAATATAAACAAAAATGTTTGAGCTATAGAATATGGATGAATACGAAGCCCAGGTGAGATTTACCTAATTATCATAAAATTGAATAATAAATTATTAATTCTCAATATCAGTTGCTGGTTGTTAAGCAGGCGCTGCTTGTTACATCCGACGAGCAGCAACGCGATGAGCTAATAGCACTGCGAACAAATTTGGAGGAACTCTTGGCTCTGACCAGAAGCAGTGAACCTGAAGCTATCAGCAACTTAAAGACACCTGAGACATCCGATCATATAGACGATGAACTACAACGTTTTCAAAGTGAGCTAATTGACTTGGAGCACGAGCAAGCTGATCCCGGCGAGGACCAACAACGGTTGGAAGAACTACGCACCAAATATAATGGTCTATTGGGGGAGAAATGTTCAGCACCCCATGAGCATAGCTGGGGTTCTCTTAGCTATCACAATGCAGATGATGAATTAATTGTGGATAAGAATGGCATTTTAGACGTGCGACTCCGAGTTCTCTTCACAAACCCAACTCACCGCGAGATGTTGCCATGCAACTACTATCTGGAGGGAGAATGTAGATTTGACGAAGTACGATGTCGTTACTCACATGGGGCTCTGGTACCAGGAGCATCCATTAAGGATTACAATGCTCCCGATTTTCATAGACTTGCACGCAATTGTCCAGTTCTGGCCAAGCTGCAAGATCGACTGTGGCACCGTGGTCGAGTGTTATGCGTCAATTTTGTGGAGCAGCAATGTCGTGTGCGTCTGGATGGCCAGGATCACAAGGACCGTGAGCGAGACTTTTCATTTGAAGAACTGTTTCCTCTGGTCAGTACTGAAGATGACGAACTGACTAGCGAGAGTGAAGAGTCGAATGAAACTGATGGAAGCGATGCAGGGAATGAATCCGACATGGACGACTTCGAAGCAGCGCGTCAAGCACGCATGGTAGAGTTGAGCCTCTTTACGTTCAATCCTACTGAGAGATTGGGTGCCTGGGAGCAGTATACGCGCGTAAGTTTTCTCAAGAGCTTCTGCTCCAGTTCTTAATAAGAAAGTTTCATTGCTTCCAGGGCATAGGCTCCAAATTAATGGCCAATATGGGTTATATACACGGCACAGGTCTTGGCTCGGATGGTCGGGGTATTGTTACGCCTGTTAGCGCACAGATATTGCCACAGGGCCGCTCTCTCGACGCTTGCATGGAGCTGCGTGAGGCAGCCAACGGCGACAAGGATTATTTCAGTGTGGAGCGCAAATTGAAACGCGCTCAACGTCGCCAGGAAGCTGCGAATGAAAAAGCCTATGAGCGCGAATCGAAACGTACCGACGTGTTTACCTTTCTTAATACCAGCGTGCTGGGTCAGGGCAGCCAGCAGACCGAGAATGCAAACAAGAAAAAGTCAAATGCTCTGCAGCAACATTCAAATAAAACGCTCAACGTGGAGACGGTGCGTATTGCAGACGATATACGCAGAAAGAAGCGTGACATTGCTAAAGTGCAGCAGTCGCTGGCGCGCAATGCAACGGATGCGCAGCTGCAGAAGCGATTGAATGTACAGCTCCAGACACAGAAGCAAGAGCTGGCTACGCTGCAGGCACAGGAGATAAGTTTAAGCAAGGAGCAGCAGACGAGAAAGAACAAGAATAAAATGTTTGAGTTCTAGTTTAGAAACCAACTTATATTACTTTTTATTAAAACTATATTATAGCCTATAAATCTTTTATGTATATTTCATTAAATGTTGCCCAGCGCTCCTGCCGTCAGCACGGCAGTCATATACTGTTCCAGCAGAGCCTGTGACAGATGCGCGCCATGCTCGACGGCCAGGGCGTATGCTGTCTCCCCATTCTCATTGGTAGCACTGAAGTCTAGATCCCTGGCCAGCAGCTCGTTGCAAGTGTGCGGATGATTGCCGGCTGCGGCATACATAAGTGCTGTATTGCCCACAATGTCCATGTGCGTGGATACAGCTCCGCGATCAAGTAGGAATCGCACAATCTCATTGTGCCCCCCAGCTGCAGCTAGCAGCAGTGGTGTTACCATATCTGGAGCCAGACTATTGACATCAGCACCAGCCGCTACAAGCAACTGCGCTGATACCAACTGGCCATAGGATGAGGCCCAGTGCAGGGGCGTGAATCCGTGGGAGTCCCTGAAATCAATATGTTTTTGCCGCAATAGCTCAGCTTTAACTTGCTCTTCTGTGATTTCGCCTTGACCAGCGCGTTCGTGGAAGGACAGCGTAACCTCCACAGGACAAAATGTGGCCTCCGTGTTGCCGCGCTGCAAATTCGTCAGGACCGTCGATTGAGGGCGGTATGGTAGAAACGCACTCTTCCGCTTAGTCGAATTGGCATCCAATAATATACTTGACCCGTGCAGAGTTGACGAAGCCGGTCCCTGGACGTGGGCAGGCCTGCAGGGCTCATCTTCATCAGAATTTATGCTTTTCTGCAGTTTGTTTACAGCAGCTACCATTGTGCACACTTCTATTTCTTGTTCAACTAGAGAAATAGCTAATAGCACTTGTGTGTTAATCAGTCAACAATAATGTAAAGAATAAATAATAATAGTAAATAACATACAAATGAGTTTGTTGAACTTTCAACAGGCAAGGGATAATGCCCTAATATATAACAGCTGATATTCGGCAATCAGCTGTTCGCTCAGCTGAACAGCAAAAGCCATTAATTAATTCAAATCACTAACCAGTGATGTGTTTCAAAGGACACTTTGGATACAGATAGCATCGTTCCTGCGTATTTTATATGGTACGTGCTAGAATAATAATAAAACATGTATATACCATATATTATTACTTAAATACCCATACTTGTTTTTAAAGTTCTAGCGATGCGCGTATTTGAAATGGTTTCTGCACATAATCGATAACAAAATTACCCAGCTGGTGATGGTTGTTTTTGTTTGGGTTTTTTTTTTATATATCTTTGATTAGCAAATATAATTATGTAAATATATTTAACTGATTCATTAGTATAGTCTTGATATGTGCATGTGAGCTTGTGTTTCATAACTGGTTTATTATTGTGGCGTAGTTGGCTTAAAAATCTACCCTGCACCTGTTGGGCTGGTTTCAAAGCAAACCTGCGTTTTGGGCCTTTTTCTGCCCCTTTAACATTGAGGAATTTTTTTTGCAATTAAATTGCGTCGAAGTTTGGACCCACGAACACAGCACAATCACAACCACAACTTCAAAATGGGCAACAATGTGAGTGCCAAGGCGATGTCTGATGGCGAGGGCAGCGAACCTCCTCTGGATGGTGGGAAACATAAAAGCCATCAACATCACAAATCTAGCATACAGTCATCGAACGCGAACAACAATGCCAGCGATATTGTTGTCAGCAATAGCAACAGCAACGGCAACGGCAGCAATAACAGTCTCAAGGTGCAATCACAAACACAAACAATGACCAGATCCGCATCAGGCGCCGATGTGACGGAGAAGCACCTAACACAGCTGGTGCCAGTGGAGCGCCTGGCTGATATATTAAAGGAACAGACGAGTGCCAAGTACGGCATTAATGGCATTGTGTCAGATGTTTTTGTGGTGAGCAAGCACAATTAATTATCTGATAACAGTTTTATAGCAACTTGACAACATTTAATTGCACGCACACACACACATTGGTACGCAGACTCAAGTGTTCCCTGGGTACACTGATTTGGGCCATCGGCTCTTTCAATTAATGCACGTTAGCTCGAAGGCAACAACAAAGCATCTGGGCGTCGTAGCCTTTCGACAGCAATGCGAAAGATTTTTAGGCATAATGGACGATACTAAAGTACTGGAGAGCTACATTAAGATGTACGCACAGGTTGATAATCCCGATTTCATCGATAAAGTAGGCGTCACACGTCTGCTGCATATTTGCTATACGATTGCCATGCAACACTCGGGAAACGCGGTGCTCTGCCCCGCCATCAATAGAACTTTTGAGTCGGTGACAAAGTCGATATTTTTCAGTCACGACAGCCTCAGTTTGGGCTTCGTTTGCCGATGGTTCGAGCAGAATTTGATACGTCCTGTGTTACTGGTGCACAAGTATTGTGTGCATACGCTCTCCACAGCATATCGTGGCCTGGAGCAGCAGACACAGTCATGCGGCCTTGAGCTGCAAACGCCGGTCATCGAGCAACGCAATCCATTTGCGTCCGCTGATGCAACGGATCATAATGCGCCAAGCATGCACATGGAGTCGCTGATGCCACTCTCACAGGCCTGGCTGCTGGCCGGCGCTCTGCCGCCCCTTTATTCCAAGCCGCGTACAATTACGCCGCCCAACAGTAGCAACAACAGCAGCGCCCAGTCAGCTGTGCAGATATTCAAGGATAAACTCTCGATGATGCCATCACACTGGACCCTGCTGTACGATTCCAACGAGCATGGCGTCGGTGCCAATCGTTTCTTGCACCACGTTCTTGGCTATCGCGGACCAACGCTGGTCCTGCTGCACACAAACGACAAGCAGACCTACTGCATTGCGGCGCCCAGTGAGTGGAAGGAGACACATTTGTTTGTCGGATCAGAGGGCAGCTGTGTGATACAGCTGTTGCCCAAGTGAGTGTACTTGGAAATTTAGATAGAAGAAGATTAAAGAATATATAATATTAACTTAATTTTTTCTTTTTGCAGATTTGTGATACTGGAAAAGAAACCCAATATTTTGTACCTTAACACCAGCATTCGCGGCTACCCGAAGGGATTGCGCGCTGGAGCTGATCCCCGCAAGCCCATCATAGCGGTAGATGAACATTTCGAGAATGTAGACTGCAAGGGCATTGCGGCAGGCCTCAGGTCCATTGAGGTAAATTGATTCAATTGATATTATTGTATATTTTTTTGCTATATTTATATGTGCAATAAGCCTTAATCAACATAGTATATAAGGTATAAAAAATTCATAGAAATGTCGCCATAGTCTATCGCATATAATATAATATAATATAATATATATATTTATATGTAGGTATGTATGTATGTATATATCAACGGGCCAGTCTAAGCATTTAAAAACAACACTTTCGAGCCGCTGCTAGAGTCAAGGCCATCGAACTTGGACGCTTGATCATTGCCAGAGTCAATTTACTTAAGTTCAATCGAGGCCAGACTCGACAGTAGGGCGCGAAAGTGTGTGTACATACAAATGAAATCTGAATTCTCCTTTACCAAACCAAACAAATCAAAACAAACAAATTCAACAACAAATTGTTACCAACAACAACAACAACAAAATGAATAACGACGCTCTCTCTCTTACAGGTTTGGGGCTGCGGCGATAAATCATCACGCGATGTGCAATTGGATATTAAAAAGTGGCAAATCAAGGAGGCGGAACGTCAGCGCACAGTCAAATTAACAGCCGCCGATTGGATGGATCATCCGGATCGATATTTGCTGGAGCTGGGCGGCAGGCAGAACTACAACAATTAATGGCAACAACAATTTTCGCTGTTGTTGCCGATGCGTGTATTAATTCGAAAGCAATTGGTGTGTGCCTTTAATTGGAGAGCGCGCTTTTAAATTTACGGGAAATACATTTTAAAATGATAATACTTTAATAAGATTATCCGTTCGTTCACGACAAGTGTCAAAAGCCTGGACTGAAATTGTTTGTATTTGAATCGTGTTTCGATTAACGAATTTTGTTTCAAATTTTTCTTTTAAGTTTAATGGCAATTTGGATTTTGATACGATATTCCTACGAAAGCATTCGTATGCCATTTAAATAATGATATATGTTTTTTGATTATCCTTCTGTTTTTACCTAAAAACGTTGTCCTTGTCACCAGTTTTGTTTATATTTTTCTCTATTTTGTTAATCGTCCGCTTATATATAAAAAAGGGAAATTTTAATGCTTCAGGTAATTAAGTTTTTCTTTCTATTATTATTTTGATTTTCTATTTGTTCTAATCTTAGAATGCAAGTATTACGAAAAGAAAAAATTCTTAAAACAATAAACAATCAAATGTTGCAAATAAAAAAAAAAAAACAGACAAACAACGCTTTAAATCTATTAATGGCTGTGGGCGCTGATTTGATGAGATTGAATTAATTGGAGGTGCCTATCAGGCAAAAGCACTCAAAAAGTTGATAAATAATTCACAGACACACTCACACATGTGCATAACAGGCGGACGCGTGTGCTCTGATTCACGATATTTCCATTTTATCAGCAAGAGTTTTGATAAATTCTAAAGTGTGTTTACCAGCGGCCTGGGCCTGGGTACTATGGAGAAATGAGTGTAATTTAGAAATCTGCGCAAAAGCGTAATGGAATTTCAGATATGGGCAATAAAAAATGCCTGAGCAAAAGTAAACAATTTAAAATAAGTTTTCAGTCTTGAGTAATCCATAAATTGAATTTACAAAAATCTAATTCAAGGAGCTTTTCAGATTCATCAATATATCAACTAGCTGTTTGAATATTATTCTTTAAATATTGTCATGGATAAAAGGCATCAAATATTGAATATACTAGCAGCTAAGCGATGCTATGCATCTATATACAAATTTGAATAAAATATGTATAATATGTAAATCAGTTTGTATAAAATATTTGGCAAAATATCATGGTAAAAGTTAGCAAATAACAATACAAAACAAAATAAATCAAGTGAGATATTTCAAGCTTATCTTACAACAAGAAATAATGTGTCATATTTATAATAGTTATAAAAAAATAAAGGTGTCCCATGTTAAATGTGCTTTTCAAAAAAATTAGTATAACGCCAATTAAAAATGATAAAAACGGAAAAAAAATACAATAATAGAATTTTTGCATAATTATATTATTGAGAATTACATTAGTTAAATATACAATATGTGTGGGGTTTTCAAATATAAGTTACGCCCTTTTCTGACCGGCAGTCACTTCATTCACAATCGTTTGCTTTAGGGGTATGTATCAATTGATCTACTATGCAACATACGAGTACAGGGTATTTAATAGCCTAATCAAATTACAAGCTACTGACACTCACACAGCAATCGTCTATATATATGTTAGTTAACTCTCTCTCTCTCGCTCTGAATATGTCGAATTTATGTTTTCCTATGATTTTGAAGTTGAATGCATAAAAAACGTTCGAGCCTAATCTATAATATATTTGTATATAAAAAATCTTCGCTGGCCAATGCACATGGAAGTACATTTTTATAATGATCCTATGGAATTGTATGCATCTCTATAAATCGATTATATATGTAGTATGCAGTATGCTATGGTTTAAAATCAGTTGTTGCTCTCGCTATCGCTTTGGAAACTAAGGCCACGCAATTTTGAAACATCCAATTTGATTGGACTGCCAGAAGAGTTAGCTCAATGTGAGTATTTAGCTTAATATACAAAGGAATTTTGGTTTGCCAATAGATCGAACAAACGATAATTGAGTAAGTGAAATAACTGATTGATAGTATAGGTGTTTATATAGAAAGCACAAATATCGCTCTGTCACTAATAATTGGGTCTAGGTGATGTACTCTCTGTCGCGTCGACGGCGCGTCGTGGATGCGACAACTACAACTGGCATCTGTTCAACATTCTCTGCATTCACTATTTCATCATCGTCTTCGTCATCATCATCGTCTTCGTCATCGTCCTCGTCTTCGTCCTCGTCCTCGTCATCTTCTTCGTCATCGTTTTCGTCATCCCCGCCCGTTGAATTGGACCACTCGGATGCAGTATGATTGCTGCACGTGGCGCTAAATTTTAGGCTGCTTGACATCCCAAATGAAACGGACAGCGATGCACTCATCGATGAGGCATTCAAATTTTGACTAACTTCTACATCGTCCCCATCCTCGAGCACATCGATGTGCTGCTGCTGATAACGTTGTCATCTGCCTGCGCCCAGCAGAAGCGCATAGTCATCGTTCGACTCGGGTATCGGAGCTGCTGCTGAGGCAGTCGTACGCGCCTGCAGAAAGCTGCTGCCACCCGCTTGCGGCGGCCCAACACCGCCAAGAAAATGCTGCTGATCTCGTTCGCGCAGATGCTGATTTGTGTCACGCTGACGCGCCGACTGTTTCGAATTTGCGCCCGGCAAGTGCAGTTGTTGTTGTTGGTAATTGTTGCTATTGCTAATATCATCAGCCGCATCGGCGCCTGCTAAGGGAAATCGAGACGTGGAATGAGTTTGATGTTCATTTAGGGTGTCCAGTTGCCCCACATTGACGGGCACAATTAACCGGCTCGTTGTTGCCCCATAGGTGGCATTACTATTACCTGCATGTGCGGAGCTGCCACCTGACGTCGCCGGCTCCTGCCGCTTGCTAATTAAGTACTCGGACTCGCTGCTCGAACGACGCGGACCACGCGCCAGTGGCTGATAGCTACTGCGACCCTGAAAACGGCGACTTATCGAACTGCTAACCACGCCCAGATGCTCCGTCACATCCTCCTGCATGTCCGAGATGTCCATCATCGAGAGAAACGCTCGGCACCAGCTGTGATTCGGATTATTCCAATACTGTGTCGAATTAATATGGAATGGGTGATGCGGAAAACTGTAAATGTGCGCAACAGCCGCAATAAACATTTCTATACATATGAGAAAGTTCTGAAATATACAAAAGGAAGTTGAGTTTAACAAATCACGATTAGATACTCCAACCAATGTCGCTTACTTGTAGCGTGGAGGCCAGATTGGCTTCGCCCACGTCACCAAATATACCATTAATAATTTTGTAATATACTAGCGCATTAAGCAGCACCCCTTGGCTAGAAATAAGAGATTTTGTTATTCTTATGGCTTCACTTCTAAAGGCTTTGCTACTTACAAAAACGAAAAGAACACAACAGCCTTGATACACAAAAACTTCGGAATAGGTCTCATGGGCTTCAAGTCCTCTTTGTTGGCCCGATAGAATAGCACCAGGCAGTACATGGCCGCAAACTGAGAGATATTGTTAATGACCACAATGTAGGGAAAGGCTACATTCGCTGAAAATTCGCCTTCGCCGTAGACTCCACTTAGTTCGCAAATGCTGTGAGAGAAGTATGAATATGTGAAATAATTAGTTAAATGGTATAATGGAAGGAATTAACTTAAATCTACGTAATATTAAATTAATTAGTTTTTTCGCATTGAAATTATCAGTCAGTCATCATCTAGGATCACTTAACTTTAATCTATTGCAAACTGCATATATATATAATACGAAATTCCAAAGTGAGCTCGTCACAACTTATACACAAAGTGAGACGTGGCAATTGTGCATAATCTCTTACTTACACTGAGATAAATGTCGTTATGGGCCGGACTACGGTATACTGCAAGATGCCGTGCTTGCAATTGTGGATGAACTCTCTACCCATGACCCAGGGACGCATGCAGCAGAGGGGAAAGAAGTGTGGCACCTGAGGCTTATATACCATCGTTGCCTCCAGGTCCATGTCGAGATTCAAATAATTTAGCAAATAAACCATGAAATTGTAAATGACATACGCCTCATAGCACTCACGCAGCGAGTCCACGTATATGGAATGCTTCGGAAATAACAGGCCCAGCCACTGTAAACAAAAATGCAAATTCTTAGTCAAACAATCAAGCACTTACTCAATGAGAACGATAATTGGTTAAGATTCGATTTCAATGATTTTGAGTAATCAAAAGTTTCGATTTCGACCGCTTCCATTGACCCACTTACCGCATTCAACGCATAGATGGGTACCATCCACAGTATGCGTATTATGTGTTTTTGCAGTATGGGCTTTGTGAAATGGATGACGTGTTGTATGATATGCCAAATGGAAATGGGCACGGCGGAGAGCACGAAGAGTCCGCCGATAAGTATAAGTTGATCGTTCTGCTTAAAGCCATCCTTCACCGAGTTCACAATCAGCAGCGGCACCACAATTATCGCGAATATCGCATATGTGACAATCAGAAGCGGCTTTATCCAAATACGCCATTCTTCACAGAAGCGACGGATATCGATGCGGCACATCCTGCACATTGGTTTCGTTGTCTCTCTGTTTGAGAAAACTAGCTACAAGTATTAATTTCGTCACTCGAACAAAGTCGCTGAGCAGCAACAGAGCGAAATCGCCGTCGTCGTCTTCGTTGTTGTTGCTGTTTTTTTTTTTTTTTTTTTTTTGTTATTGTTGCCGCCGCCCCGTTATTGTTTGTCTGTTTGTTTGTTCGCTTGGTACGATTAGTGTCCCTCTATCTGAATTTTACATGGAACGTCTCTTACACCCACGCACTGTTTGCAAGCGCTTAGCGCACATGTTGAAATTACTTGTTTTTCAATACACACATACGCACGAACTAACTCTACAGAAAACAATTAGGGCCGAGCTGCAATATGCAAATTAAAATTATTTGTTAACTTTTTGTGTCTTCGGTGTGCAGTGGCAGTCGCTTGATAAGGGCAAATTTAACTGTCTGGCAGTACCAAAATCTGCACAGTGCTGTAAAGCGTAGGAAAATGTGCATAATTTACAGCACTAGCGTAAACAGAGTCGCAATGGGCAAATTCCAGCATTTTTTTGTTTGCCTACTATAAATGGAACAATTTCCCCCACCAGAATTTCCTTTTGCTTCAAACTCAATTTCCCTTTGGATATTATTGTTTGTATATTTAATTACAGATTGTAGAATAGCAGAATTACAATATGCATATTCCATATAGATAAAAACATTAAAAGCTATTAAACATATATTGTGTCCTTTAAGCTGCTGCTACGATTCAAAAACAGTATCGCGTCGATCTGGTTCTGGCTGCCAGTGAGCATAAAACGCTTATTGTAGTCATAAATCTGTTCGCGCAGCACCTTCTTGAAGTTTAGATTGACTACGCCGGGTACACCCTGATAGAGTGTAGCCAAATCACGCAGCGTACCATATATATGACCCATCTTGTTCCACCACTCAATGGGCGACTCGTCCAGCTGCACAATCACCTCGTTGCGATAGCGCTTGAGATCCGTTTCCACAGTGCTGTCGGCATCTCGCTTCGGAGCACTGGGTATCTCTGTAATATCAAACAGCAGTTCCAATTCTACAGGAAATCCATTACAAATTAATTTCACGATTTTCGGACTGATATTTGCTAGCTACTCAAACTTACTTGATTTCTTTGCGCTATGCGAGGCGGCAACTGCGGCTGCCGAGCTGCTACCCGACTTGACATTTGGCTCCGTTTTAATGGTAACGGTTGGAGCACTGCTCACACTTGCAGGTGCCACCTCAGTCGAATCTCCGCTCTGGCTATCCGTGCCCATCGAGCCGCCAAACACCTTATTGTATTTCTGTGTTAGCATGCGTACACAGCTGTCAAGATTATCAATTGTGGTCAGGCGATGGAAACGCGGATCGAGCAGCGCAGCGCTAGTCAGCGTATCATTGGCAATAATCTGCGATTGCAGCACACTGGCAATCGTACGTTTGATGTTCATCATTAGGGGTTCATCCTGCTCAGCAATGCCCAGTTTCTTGATCAATATCTTTGAGGTGATCGGCGACAACATGCTGCACAGCGGCATATCTTCGCCGCGCAATGTGTCCAATGCAATCTAGTGAATCGATTGAGTGATTATCTGTACGCTTCATAGGAATATTGAATATTTGTCACACTTACCACCAGGGCACTGAGCGCTTCGGTAACGGTTTTGGCTGTGATTACCAGCTGATCCATATCTTCGGACCAAGATATGGACTCGGCAAAGAACTTGAGCAACTCGTACAGAGTCCAGGGGAAGTGTTCATTGTATGCCGGCAGCTCCGCCACCTTCGAGCTAATCTCAGCTGAATGACGTTGTATGATGTCTCTCACCTGCTCAACTGCTGTGGCCACCTCCTCCAGCGCAAAGACGTGGCGCAGACATTTGTCAATCACCGACACATAGCAGAGCACAACGGGTATATCTGTGAAAAGGTTGAAGAAGTATAGAGAATTAATAGATGAATGGATATGCTCTTAGCAATTACATCCTGGGTTGACTGCATGTTACACTTACATACATACATACACTTTCATTGTTTTCTATGTATATTCTAAGTAATAAATAAAAGTGCCTTATTTTTTCCACATTCTGTTTTATATACTATATATGTAAGTAAGTAGACTTGATAAACTATTCATTAAATTCGAAACGTATAATTTCTCAGCATTTGCATAGATCTAAAAATATTCCTTTACTCACTCTTCTCCTTGAGATATGTCTGCAGCAGATCCTCCTCGTCGTCATAGCTGACTATGGCCAGCGTACAATTTGGCAAATAGAAGTCGGCGAGAACTTCATCGAATGAGACGTATTCGTTATACTCTATGGTGGCGTACATGATGCTGCGGACGCACTGCGTCTCATCGCTCAAATAGTGATGATAGATACTAAGAAATCGTCGCTGCTCCACATTGATCCACTGCTCGAAGGCCAGCGAATAGGGCTTCTCGGCCGTGAAGTCGCGAGTAAAATCACCAATTTCAACGAATTTCGATGCATGCTGCTCTGTGATCAGAGCGTCAATCTTTTGGGGCATGGGCAGCGATGACAAATTGCCCATGGCCAGGCGTATGAACTCGCTGATGCCCTGGTCATATAGTGTCTCCACGTTGCGCACATCATGTATAACAATGTCGGCCATAGCTTCGGCCAAATTGGTAATATAGCTGCGAACCTGCATGCCCCCCGCTCCCTCTTCATGCTTAATGTTTGCGCGCGTAAAATGCATGGTTCCGGGCGTGGCTGTACTTTTACGTTTACGGGCATACTTCAGATCGCGCGGCTCGATGCTTATGGAGCGATCCTCCTCTTCTACCAGATTATCGGCATCGTCGTAAGTCAAAGGCACCATTGTCTCATAGAGCATTGTCTGCGAGGCATTATCATCTTCGGCCTGCATGGCGGCTGCGGCCACAGCAGCCTCGTCCATATCCTCATCCTCATCGTTCTCATGATGATTGCGATTGTTAATGAATTCCAATTTAACGCGACGCGAGGAGACGTTACGTTTGGACAATGGTGGATGATTGAGATTACGCGGCGTTTTTCGCGGCGGCACTTGGATGTCGTTCTCCTGGCACAGGGCCTTGAACAAGTCTTTGTGCCGATGTTGCAAATGCGCACGCAAATTGGTGGTATTGCCATGATTGGTCAACACCTTGTGGCATTTAATGCATACAACGTTCTGCTTGGTAATTACCTCGTCATTATCGTTTGATGGAAAGCCAAAGTAGCGCCAATAGACGCTTTTCATTTTGGGCGAGTACAGCTTGGAAAAATTGAGCTGCGAGACATCTTCGTATTTGGCCTCAACGACCATTGGCGAACTGGCCACTCCGTCGTTCATTTTTAAGCTTATTTTGGTTGTTTATTGATATCTGATTACCGATGCCACAAATAAATAAGCGCGCAATTTCTCGATTATAGATAGTCAGTTCAATAGTCAATAGTTTTTTTATCTGTATCAGAAAGTACAGTTCAGAGTTGCCACGCGACAGAGTAGTCAATCGATAAGGCAAATGTCTATATTATGTTTCACAGATGCGCACAAATTGTATTACACTTATTTTTAATTGTTTGACACGTTACAATCGCTGTGCATTTGACATTTATTTTACGTTTTGCCACGGTAAAATGTAAACTGTGTGAAGATTTTGTTAACACTGATTGCATCACCAATCGATAGCTGGGGAAATTTGTGCGGCAGCAAGGGAAATTGGCATGGGAAATTGTTATTACTGTATGCTCAGGACGTGAAGTTGGCTGCGATTTTCTTTTTGATTCGTTGTTGGGTAGCAAAAGGTGTGTGGAATTTTACAACGCATAGAAATAAATAAATTTTGATAAATAGTGACAGACAATATTATGAGATTAGTAGATAAAAATGTGTACCGCTTACCAGGCTATAAATGAGCATCCTATATGTTGAAAATTATGTTAAAATAGACCTAAAAACATGCAAATATAAGCTAGCCACGTGGTGTATGCCCCCCGATATTTGGTTATATGTAGTGCAAATGTCTCCATATATTAATGTGTGTGTGCATTTTTGTGATCTGTATTGCAGCTAATCTAAACCGCCAAGATGGGTAAGGGTAACAATATGATTCCAAACCAGCATTACCACAAGTGGTGGCAGCGTCATGTGCGCACCTGGTTCAACCAGCCGGCGCGCAAGGTCCGCAGACACGAGAACCGTGTCAAGAAGGCAAAGGCAGTCTTCCCACGCCCCGCTAGCGGTCCCCTGCGCCCAGTTGTGCGTTGCCCCACAATCCGTTACCACACAAAGTTGCGTACCGGACGCGGCTTCACCTTGGAGGAGCTGAAGGTACGTGAATTCTCATAATTTATTTTTGTTTTTCTATAGTTAATTGATGAATTTAATCAATTGCAGGGTGCTGGTTTGAGCTATAAATTCGCCAAGACCATCGGCATTGCTGTCGATCGTCGTCGCAAGAACAAGTCGTTGGAGTCGCGTCAGCGCAACATTCAGCGCCTGAAGGAATACAGAAGCAAACTGATTCTGTTCCCCATCAATGAGAAGAAGATCCGCAAGGGCGAATCAACTGTTGAGGAATGCAAGTTGGCTACCCAGCTGCAAGGACCAGTTATGCCTCTCAAGAAGGAGGTGCCAGCTGTTGTTGAGTTCCGTGATGTTACACAGGACGAGAAGAAGTTCAAGGCATTCGCTACTCTGCGCAAGGTGCGACTCAGCTCTGACTTATTTCTATTGATTTATGATTATTTTGATTGACTGTTTACTTATCAATGGTGTTTTTGTTTATAGGCACGTACTGATGCTCGTTTGGTTGGCATTCGCGCTAAGAAGGCCAAGGAGGCCGCTGAAAGCGAGGAGGGCGCCAAGGCCGATTCCAAGAAGGCCAAGAAGTAAACTCCATTTAGACCTGATAATTCTGTCTACAATAACAACAACAACAACAAGAATAAAGTTTTAGTTTTTTCATAAACGTGAACTGTTGTGTTTTCATCTATCCCCATTGTACGAACCAAATCAAGCGAGAGCAAAGGAAATCTTGTTGTACTCAAAAGCAGCTGCTGGAATATCCAATTGGTGCGTGCTCCTTATTTGCACAATTCTTTAAGAGGATTCAAAAGTCGTCCTTACCTTTAGCAGAACAATGAACCCAGGCAGTAACAATGGACAGTTTTACTTTAGGCAGCTGTTTATTGCCTTTGGACAGACAAAGCGGGAATCTGATTTGTTTGGCTGTTTGCTATGCGGGTGCTGTCTGTGCTGTTTGTGTGGCAAATAATGTAATTCTTAATACACCAAAACTGAAGATATTTAGTATTGAACTATATGTCACCTGGAAGGTTTCTGCACATTTATAATTTGAATTGTTAAACTTCATCAGTTTAATGAGCTCGGTTATTGTGACATAGCAGCATAAGCTGTTCTGATTTATATAAATAATTTATCTATATTTTTTGACTCGTTAAGTTTTATTAACAAAAATTTTAGTATATACAAAAATAGTGTAATAATTATAGTGATTAGTTAGTATGCAGTGTGTTACAAATAATAATGATAATGTCTATACATTGTTTTTAATATTGTTGAAGTATTTTATTAAGTTGTTTTAATTATTATTTTTTGCATTTATTGCTGTAGGTTCTCTTGGGTTACTAAATATATAGGTGTAGGAATACGCTTTTGGTTAAAATTAATTAAAAATCGTTTATTTCAAGAAATATAACGATTTTCAGTTAATGGAAATTAATTTATGTAGAATATTAGAAACATTTCCCATTAAATTTAAATATTATTTCTATACCTATACTGTATTATTCCTCAAAGTATTTCTAGAAAAACTAAGTCTATTATGTTCACATTTAAATTTAAGTTTTAATAGTAGTATGTTTTAAAAAGGACCACTATACCTATGTTTACATACATATGTATATATTTTATATACATATAGAAGTACCAGACCATTTACCATAGTTCAGCCCCGCTGACCTCTAGATAAGCTCACAATTACTGAGTGCTAAGTGCCAGATTGTTTATGTGTGGCCTTTAACACAGCCCAGCCAAAGCCTAGGCGCAAATAAACCCTAACATCTGAGCAAAATTCATCGTGAAATTATAATGAACAGAACAAGATTAACGACGGCGTTTAGTGTAGCATATGCAAAAGGAAAACTGTTGTTGCAGCCATAAAAAAGTGGAAAGCAAAGAAAGGGTTGCAGTTGCTGCCGCCTGAAATTCAATTATCGGGACTCTGCTGCGGCTTCTGTGGATGCTGTGGATGCTGTGGCTATGTGTGGCTGGGTTTGCTGTGTGCTACCCGCACCTTGAGCCTTGTTTATGCATTTCAATGATTTTTATTTCAGTTAACCTTGTTGTCCACATGCTCTCCCTCTCTCTCTCCCCCTCTTGCGCTTGTTTCGTGTCAAATGCATTCAAATTTTTATTATTGAAATTTATGAGCGCAAAAGTGATTTTCCTCATAGTTTTTCATGAACTGATTTACTTTTTTTTTCACCCGTGTGGTTGTTATGCCGGTGGCTTAGGGTGGCGCATCTGGGGGTGGGGCTGTTGCTAACGGTAAACAACCATACTGAGCGACACCAAACGTAATTGGCAATTGTTTTGCCTTTTGTATGGCTGTGCTGTGGCCGTGCCTGTGTGTGTCTGTGTGTGTCTGTGTGTACTTCGTTACCTTTTGTGACAGTTGCTCTACCCAAAACTTTTTTGTTTTCTGTGTGCCAGTGTGTGTGTTTTGGTTTTGCAACATGTGCGCCTGGGTCCATCAAATGCAGATCTGAGCCCGTCTCATTTGAATGCGCGAAAGTTGTTTCTGTGGCGCCGAGAGTAAGAAAAGTTTTTGATTTGAAATTTCATTTTCTCAAATGCATTTCCACTTCTCGCATTTTAAATGCAAAATCAATTTTGCCTTAAACCGCTATGGCAACGTAATTGATGTCAGAGCTGCTTCCTCCTGCCTTCCTTGCAGTGGGTTAATCTGCATATGTGCGACATGTGCCGAGGTGTCGGTATGTGTGTGAGTGTGCATATATGTATGTGTGTGTTGGTGTGTTCAAGTGTCTGCACCATAAACGCAATCAGTGCTTAATGATCCATACAGCAATTGGATTAGTGCGTGCCCAGCAGGCAAACACAGCATCAGCAGCAGCTGAGGGGGTAAAAAGAGCAGGAGCAGGAGCAGCAGCAGGAGCAGGAGGAATCTCAACAGAGACATTCAGTAGCTGCTGCAACAGTCACAGAGTGGGCTTGTCCTTGCTCCGATTTGCATCTGAAAGAAATACAGCTTAAGCTGCTGTCGATGAAACACATTTGTTTTTCAGCCATAATCTATATAGATAATGCTCAAGCAGTTTCGTCAAGTTGTGTAATACTGTATCATCTGTATCTGTATCTGTATCTGTATCTGTATCTGTATCTGTATCTGTATCTGTAT